TGGTGATCTGCAGACACCCTGGTGATCTGCAGACAACCTGGTGATCTGCAGACAACCTGGTGATCTGCAGACAACCTGGTGATCTGCAGAGATCTTGGTGATCTGCAGGAATCCTGGTGATCTGCAGACACCCCGGTTGATCTGCAGACACCCCGGTTGATCTGCAGACAACCTGGTGATATGCGAGACAACCTGGTGATCTGCAGACACCCTGGTGATCTGCAGAGATCTTGGTGATCTGCAGAAATCCTGGTGATCTGCAGACACCCTGGTGATCTGCAGACAACTTGGTGATCTGCAGACATCCTGGTGATCTGCAGAGATCTTGATGATCTGCAGAAATCCTGGTGATCTGCAGAAATCCTGGTGATCTGCAGAGATCTTGGTGATCTGCAGACATCCTGGGGATATGCAAAGATCCTGGGAATGTGCAGGAATCCTGGCGATTTTCAGGGATCTTTGTTAGCTGCAGGGATCCTTGTGATCTTCAGACATCCTGGTGATCCGAAGGAATCCTGGGGCTCTGCAGGAATCCTGGAGATCTGCAGAGATCCTGTCACCACTGCAGACATTCAGCTGCCCTGCAGGTCCTCATCATAAGAGCGTACAGGTAGAGACGACCTTCTGTTACTCGTCACATTTCGTCTATCGGTTTGGAGCAGGGATAAACGCTAAACTTCCTGTTGGACTCATAAAGGAGATGACTGATTCCGGTTATGCTGGACAGGAAGCATCTCCAGGTCCATCTTTAATGTAAACTCAGTTATCAAAGATAAATCATCACCAAGCATCTTTAACTCAGCTAAATCCCAGACACAGTTTTATGTCCTCTGCGATAAATGCTATAAAATAAGACCTTTGACCTGCCAAGGGACAATCCATCCCCAGACCAACAGAACCTGGAATAAACCTGAAACTGGCTCAGTTTGGCCACTGAGGGCAGCTGTGCAGTTCAGGTCTGTGCCTGTGGGGGCAGCGTGGTTCTCTTACATTCTCAGACACGCAGGGTCCTTTGGCGTGCAGAGACACACAGGGGCCGATGGCTCCGCACACTTTGATCTCTCTGGATGTCTAGAAGAGAGAAGAGCAGCGTGGATGAAGCCGCGGCACAGAGGAGGTCAGGAAGAGCTTCTCCACCCCCCGGTTCCTACCTTCACCTCCACCGTGGCAGAAAACGCCATCTTGAAGGATCCCTGAACGTCTTTGGTGAAAACCCTCTGGAAGGTTTGCTTGAACAGAGACGTGTTGAAGGAGTCGGCCATCACCATGTATCCTCTGACAAAAAAAACACGACAAACACGACTGAAAGGTCTAGTTTCTCTGCTTTTTTTCTCTCTTTTGGATGCAAAACAATTCAAATGGAGAAGGATGTGTGAACTTAAAACAGAAGTTAGGAAGTTAAATGCTAAAAATTAGCTGATTTTTACTGAACTGGTGGAAAATGAACTAAAACTCAACTCAAACGTATTTGTCAACATGATGTATCTGATTAAATAAAAGTCTCATCTTTTGCAGTTTATCATTAAAATGATCCAGAATTTTGGAGCCTAAGGAATAGGAACATTTCAACCGTTTTTATTTTCATTTTCTCGTTGTGTCATCCTTTTCTTCTCAGTTATCACTCAAATTGACTCTTAGTTTATTTTCTGTTTTTACCGCACTTATCGTTTTAAAATTATGTTTTAAAATCCTAGTTCACAAGCATCCTCATTCACGTTTTCCCCTAAATGTTCACGTTATAATAAATGTTTACATTATTTACTGGTTGTATCTAAAAATATGAAAGATATTTTATATTAACCTCCAATAACTTCAATGATATCATTGTTCTACGTCATCAAATCAATTCAGTTTACTCTGTCCAATCAGCTGCCTGTAGTGTCTTTAAATGTCCAGCAGGTGTCAGTATTCTGTGACGCAGCATCAACGCAGCATCAATACAGTTTGGCTTCAAGATGCCTCATTAACCATTACTAATGGTTACCATGGAGTCAGCTGGTATTCCAGGGATGTGTATGAAATGGGTTCCCATCTTCAATCACATCCCTTGATCAATTCTACTGGATTCTTTTTTGGAGGAATCTGCTGTTTTTCTTCTTGTTTCTGAATTAGCCGATATGTGCACCCGTTTCCTCATCGTACAGCAGCAGCAGAAATCAACCGGAGCATCTGTACCTTAAGCTACGATGCTTCTGGTAAACACAGGCTTTCTTTAAATCCACAGTCAAGTCTAACCCTACTTCTGTTGTAACTAGGGCTGAAATTATCAAATTAATCGATTATTGAAATAATCGTCAACTAATTTAGTAATCGATTCATCGTATAGAGACTGTAAAACATGCCTTTAGCTGACAGAGGAACACACTTAGAGCAGGAATTATATCAACATTGTAAAAACAATATATAAATATTTTACATTTAAGGTAAAAAAATAAAATAAAATAAAAAAATTTCGTCCACAATCTACTCTATCCATAACTTCTCAAGTGTAAAAGTTTTAGTTTCACTTGGTTTAATTCTGTAAAATTGTTCTTTAAGGAACCTTTGCTTATGTTATTAATCGATTATTAAAATAATCGTTAGCTGTAGCCCTATTTGCAACGTCATCTGATGTGGACAAAGCCTCTGAAGTATCAATGTGTCTGATAGCGAATCATTTCAATCCCCTAATCCTCCTCCAGTGCTGTGGTCAGACTGGTTTCCTGTAGAGCGTTATTTACCCTGTGTGGTTGGGGCAGCATCTCATCTCCAGCAGACCCGTCTGATCCAGGGCGCAGGCATAGATGTCGATGATGTGACCATTAGTGGAAGCTCTGTTGCCCAGAGCCTCAAAATGCTGCAACACACAGATGAAGACAGTTTAGACGGGGAGGAACGAGGCGAGCTAAGGATCTGTGCTCTGCTGACGCAGGCATCTTCAGATCCACAGAGCAGCAGGTCGATTCAATTAGTTAATGGTTTCATTAGACCGAAGCACATCATTGTGTCTAGAGTGGGTTAGCTCCACTCCCACTGGGTCACAATGAGAACTGGGCAGTTTTCATGGATTGACATCAATGTTAGATTTGATATAATTGGCATCATGCTGGCTTGCGTTCAGATCATAACTCGGAGGCTCACAGCCCTACAAAGCAGGCAGCAGTTCCTCCCAGCTGGACCACATCAGCCATCTGCTGGAGGCATCCACCTGCTCCATGCATCTCCATGTTGGTCCTACAGACATCCTGATGGAGCACAGATGCCTCCTCCTGTTTCTAACGTTTCAAAGTGCAGGACCTCTGCAGACTACCTGACCTGCTCCCAAGGAGGAGCGTTAATCTGGTCACATCATCTAACGTTTCATTATCAACAGAATGCCTGAATGATTAAGAATGACCAATCAAGCAAACACCTCCTACCTCTGGACAGCCTGTTCATTTACTCTGACTGAATCTGACTGAATGTAGGTGTAGCAGAAGGTTAGCAAGCTAGCTTCTACACCAACACAGCAGGTGCGGAGGGGATCCCAGTCAACCATTTTTCCTGGGGGTGGTCTCTGATGGAGCCGCTTTGAGGGAACCTTCAGCTCACCTAAACGCTAGCTTGGAGCTTTGCTCTCCCTGTTCCCCTTGGAGACACAATAAAGAACCACGGTTCTTTTCTTTTTTTTAAAGGAACTGCCTTGTCTAAGGCAGTATGCAGAGAACTAGCAACCCCATCATCAACCTGCGAAGGGGAATAAATTAAGCTTTTGCACTCTGCAGCACCGCTCAGTAACACAGAGGAGAGAAAAAGTGAAACCGATTCTTTAAAATGTATAACTGCACTATCTGATAATGATCTGCCAAAGTGAAACCTTCTTTTTTGGGGGAGGAGAACTCTGTTAAATAATCTTGAAGATTATTATAAAGTGGTCAGAGAGGACAGGGTTGTGAGGAAATACTGTTATTTCTTCACATTCTATGCCATATGTCAGCTCAGGATCCAAAGTATGAAGATGAGAATGTGTGGGACAACTAACATTTTGAATGAAACCAATAACTACTAAGATTCCATTAAAGGCTGCTCTTAAGCTATCACCTTCAATGTCAGTATGGAGGTTAAAATCCCCCACTAAGAGGACCCTGTCAGTATTTAACACCAAATCAGATAGGAGCCGTGGACGGGAGGCACACTGGGAGCTGGAGCCACCCTGGTCTCTCTTATCCCAACCAGGCTTGTTCAGGGTCAGCCCTAAACAGAACCTGCACGGTTTGGAGGTCCAACACCAAAGCAGAGAAAACGGATCCAATTCTGTGGCTTTAATCTCTGACTTAATTTTAGTTCATGTTAATCTATTAGAACAGCTTCTTCTAAATGTTCTGGTGCTGGTTGCTGGTTCTACTGTCTTCTGAAGCTCACTGAGGAACTTTTCATCCTTGTCTGACTCACTTTGGTGGCTTTCTTCATGAACTTGGCATTGTCCTTCTCAATGTCGTGCCAGGACCTGATGGGGGTCTTCAGCTCATCTCCCACCACCATACCGGGTCCCTGCGTGGCTGGGCCCCCAATGAATGTCATGATGCGGGCTCCGGTGTTAGGAAAGGTGCACTGCAGACAGGAGAGCTGGTCAGAGGCGGTTCTGCATCATCATGGAAACCAAAAGCGACCCTTTACCTCCAGAAGCCCCACAGCAATAGACATAGCCACACCCAGCGAGCGCAGGGGCCTCTTCCCCTGAGTGACAGGCCAGGGGTCCCTCTGCAACTCCCCCAGAAGATCTGTCAGGTTCATGTCAATCTTCTGTACAGGCTGCAGGAACCTGGAGAGAAACAAGAGGATGGGCAGAAGGTTTCTAAGGAGGGACACAAACCAGAGATATTCATTGCTTTGGCAATATCGTCAAAATTTAGCAAGACGCAATTTAAAACTGAAACCCTGATCAGGAGGTGGTCGAGAGAGGCTGATTGCCCCTTGTTACTCCTGGAAACTACAAGACGCACCATGAGGTTGAAACTCTGCCTGTTCCAAAAAATTCTTGCACGAATGTAGAATGGACCCGAAAAGGGAAACCCGAACAGTGGATGCCCCACTTTAGCTTGACAGGAAGGCGCCAGTCTGTGGTTTGTAAATCCTGCAGTGAACCACCAGATGGGGGTAAATCTCACACATTATCCCTTAAAGCTCAGACCTTCCTCTGAGGTTAATGCAGAGTTTCTGAATTGTAGCTAGAAGTTGCTACCTCTGAGCTAATTAAGGTTAAAGGAAAAGTCCGGTCACATTCAGAATTCAAACTTCTGAAAGTTCTTTAAATCTGAAATTATTACATACTGTTCAATAAAGGATGAGTGTTTTTAATTCAGAGTGATTTTCATTTGAATGTACTTTACTGGAGGCATCCATGTTTGTCAAAGAACACTACTGCCACCTACTGGTTTGTGACGTCACGGTGCGGTATCGGCTGTTGATCAAGTCCCAGTGCTGTATCTGGTGTTTGGTACAACGCGCTATTATCCAAGTCATCTTGAATTGTTGGCTACATATTACGTGTTTTTTCTTTAGCCAGACGTTCGATGGCAAATCCTCCCTCTTCAAGTTGGCAATCCAACGACAAACCCCTCAGTGGCGGATCAGGAATCAGAAAGGTGAAATAACTCTTCGTTTTTCACTTTTACCCGATGTATTCCAACATCCAACTGCCATGCACGTGGGAATTGTCAGTTTCACTATAGCTCTGGTGAATTTCAATGGTGAAGTCCTCTGGAAATCTGCAGGTGTGTCTATTAGTTCCCATTGATTTTGAGGTGTTACTATATTTGGGCAAAAATGGCCGCTCCCAGACTCCGTGATCATGATGAAAGTTATTGATTTTATTTTTTTACTGATTAATGCTAAATTCATTAAATCACTGCGAACATATTAGTTTTAGGTATAAATAATGATCCATTAATTATTCCTGCTGACCGGACTTCTCCTTTAAATCCTTTTTTTAGAGCGTCACCTTGATCTAACACTGTGACGTTCATAAAGGAGAACGTTGGACCTTCTGGAACCGGTCCAAGCAGATTAGAGCCTCAGGTTAGAGAAAACAGACGGATCAGCATTTCGGAGCTCCTACCTGTTGGACAGAGGCTGCTGCTGGGAGGCCTGAGGGCCGCGGCCCTGAGCTGCAGAGGGTTTGGTGAGACCGAGCATGTCCTGCAACAAGCATCACGTCATTAAGCCTTCTCCTCCGATCAGAGTCGGACTGCTGAACAGAGACAGGATCGATTCTACCTGCAGCTGCTTAGCGTTCAGGTCCTTGGTTCCCCGGAAGACGTAGCTCTTGGCAATTCCTTCACAGCCCAGCTCATGGACCTGAACCATGCGTCCGAAGGTGATGAGTCCCACCAGAGCGGTTGGGGGCAGCAGGGACAGGGACATCTGGAGAGACTCTTTCAGAGCCTGCAGGTCCTCGTCCTCCATGCAGGTGTCCACAACGTACAGGAAGACCAGCGGCATCTGAGGGCCCCGCTGCAGGCGGCAAACAAAGCGTGTCAAACACCAGATGCCACGCGTAGCCGCTGTGGGGCTCTCAGAGCGACACTCACCTGCACCACGTACTCGATGGTAGAGAAATGAGGCAGCAGTTCAGCAGGCTGGTTGACCTCAGAGATCCCAGCGTAGGACGGGGGGAACTGAGGAGAGAGGCTGATGGGTCAGGGTCTGCGGGGTGGCGTTCTGCCGCCCTGAGCAGGACATAACGCACTCACCTGGTTCCTCTGGTAGCAGAAGTTGCAGGCCCACAGCTTGGCTCTGTAGTCCACCTGGCTGAAACACAAGAACAGGTGGAGTCAGACGGGAGGAGCAGCTGCAGCGCAGCAGGCGAAGGGCTGAAGGGTGGGCGTACCATAGAGGGTTGAGGACTGCCCGGCAGGTGGCACGGCTGCACAGCACCGGCTCGTACTGGATGGGGGGCAGGTCGGTTCTCTCCCTGAGGGGGGTGAACAGCGCTGCCACCGGCACCACCATCCGGGTGGCCTCCAGGCGGCTGGACGGCCAGACGTTCCAGCTGAAGCGGACGCCATCGCGCTCCTCATTCTGGGCGATGTACTCTGGAAAGGTTGCCATGATGAAGCAGGACGCAGGTGTCTCAGCTGGGGGGGGGGGGTCCGCAGGTTCAGAGAACAGCAACCAGCAGGTCTGATGCTGTGCAGAGAGGCAGGACCAACGTCAAACATCTCCCTCAGATCATCATCAAAGTATTTATCGTTTCTGACTGATAAAGTTTGCTGAGTGAAAAATTTCTGCTAGAAGCACAAAACGGTTCAAAGCTGTTCTGGGGAGGTTCTGGAGGGACCACAGCCAGACCCCATAAGAAAACCACAGCCGCCCGTAAAGATCAGCACAATAATCAGAAATAAAACAATAAATATTAATCAAGAGTTACTGGAACAAAAAGCAGGAAGACACAGAAACTAGCAGCAGCATTTATTCAGGACGTTCTACTGGTGGTGATCAGACCCTAACCTGGGCACCATCCTAACCCGGTCACCAACTAACCTAGACATCACCATAACCCAGTTATCCTAACCTGGACACCATCCTAACCCGTTTATCCTATCCCAGTCATCCTCCTAACCTGGTTATCCTAACCCGTTCACCATCCTAACCTGGTTATCCTAACCTGGGCACCATCCTAACCTGGTCATCCTAACCTGGGCACCATCCTAACCTGGTCATCCTAATCCGGTCACCATCTTAACCCGTTCATCCTAACCCAGTCCCCATCCTAACCTGGTTATCCTAACCCATTCATCCTAGCCCAGTCACCATCCTAACCTGGTTATCCTAAACCAGTTACCATCCTAACCTGGTTATCCTAACCCGTTCATCCTAACCCGTTCACCATCCTGACGCAGTCACCATCCTAAACTGGTCACCATCCTAACCTGGTTATCCTAACCCGTTCATCCTAACCCGGTCACCATCCTAACTCAGTCACCATCCTAAACTGGTCACCATCCTAACCCGTTCAGAATCCTAACCTGGTTATCCTAACCCGTTCAGAATCCTAACCTGATTATCCTTACCCGGTCACCATCCCCTAACCCAGTCACCATCCTAACCCGTTCAGAATCCTAACCTGGTCACCATCCCAACCCGGTCATCCTAACCTGGTCAGACACTAACCAGATTAGAACCAAGCTGCCTGGTGGGTGGAGCCGTTTAAACCAAACCAGCCTCTCAGCTGCAGACAGAGGAGGTTTAACATCTGGACTCTGATCAAACCAATCAATGGCTTCAGGCTGGAGAACATCTGCTGCAGATGTTTGCAGAACCAGCAGCCATCAGATATATGCAGTCTTTGTTTCTTCAGCTCAGAAATCAGCCTCTGCATGTTTATTAGGATTAACACTAACCAACTAACTAACCCACAGGATGCTCAGCTATACTTTGATATATCTGTTCATTTATTTTACTTTAGACCAAATTAATCACACCACGTCATCAACCAGGCTGCCTTTTTAAACTTCATGATCTGCTGCTTCTTCTTCACATAAACAGCTGATGGACTCCCTGAGATGCCAAACAAATCCTTCATCTCCTGCTGGGTGGCAGCTCCGTGGCAGCTCCACGGAGGCCCCACGGAGCCAGCAGGAGCCCACGCAGGAGCAGAAGGTGTCCCAGGTGAAGCAGAAGGTCTCGCGGGTGTGGCTCAGAAAGTGAAGCAGAATAAAGTCAGAACTTACCGATCCGCTCCTCTCCTCCGACAACCAAGCAAAACAATATGGCGGCGACGTTGCCACGTCAAGACAGAGAGAGTGAGCAGGGGCAGAGGTCTCACTCTGAGTGATAAACAGGCAGAGGTCTCACTCTGAGCGATAGGCAGAAGCCACATTCCCGCACCACTACAAAAACATCACAGATGTGACAGTGAAAAACACTTGAAGAGATCAGACGTACCGCCCAGCGGTCATTTCATGTTAACTACTAAACAGTCAAGTAAACAAGAAGCCAATGAGAACTTTACATGAAACAGGAGGTATCACTCTGAGTGAAAATCCAGAACTCTTGTGACCAGGGGCGGTTCCAGCAGAATGAGGCCCTGGGCGAATCAGGGTCAGAAAAAAAAGCTTTGTTTCCAAGTAGTTTTGCATAATGTAAAAGGAATTTGCTTTGGAACTAAGCAGAGACGAGGAACTAAGCAGAGACGTCTTCTGGAAAACTTCACATCCAGTTTCCTAGACTAAAATTTTCCAAGCTTTACCTGAATAGTTCACATTAACCACAGATCATTAACCTGTAGAGTAAAATAAGTTAGCATTCTGCTTGGTGTAACTATTACGAGAGGAATCACATCGTCAATTATGCAGACTAGCTGGGTGCTGTCTGAAACGGAACATGATTGCTTATTTTGTTTGGTTTCTATTTTCCCAAGAACAATTAAACCAGGATTAATCCAGCATTTAATGAGCCTATTGTGTGTCTGTAAATAACACTGACGACAAACAGCCAGAAAGCTCACAGAGCTGAGAATTTACATGTCCTATCAATGTCTTTCATGGGTCCTCTGCCTCCCTGGAAGTGACACAAAAAATAAATAACAGCAAAATAGCATCTTCTCACACATCCGTTTCACATTTTTTCACCCCAAGACAGAGATGAACTGATGTTAGAACAGCTTTATGTTGAGATGCTGAATAAAGGCTTTAGGTCCTAAAGAAATGAACATTTCAAAGTAATATAAATAAGTTTAAATTCAGCTTTAAATGTAAATAAGCTGGATAAGTGAATAAAAAGTGTTAATTTAATGTGGAATTAAATGTCCCACAGGACTAAATGGAGCAGCTGTACCTCAGACTGAAATGATTACAAAGAATCAGGTTAAACCGTATGTCAGACACGTATAAAACCCTTTGAATTAAACTGCAAAGAACTTCATTGCCTTGTATTCGTCTAGAAAACAGTTGGTAGATATGCACGGATTACGTCTTGTTGCTGGTGAAGAACTGGTCTCATCTGATAGGAATGTCTCCCTCTGTCAGGCTAATCGTCCTTTTAAAGTTGTTTATTTCTTTTGCAAGCTGAAATAAAAGGAAGCAAATTTCACTAATAATATAACAGTAACAGTTTATTGAAACCTCCTTTGTTCTGCTAATCCTTTACATCTTTAAACTCTTCCACTTTCATCTTTTTTTCCTCTTGATTTCAGACACCCTGTCTACTTTTAAGGGTAGGAATAAAACTTTCCTTTTTGAAAAAGCTTATAGAGTGGCTCAGGTTATCCTGAACTATCTCTATAGTTATGCTGCTATAGGCTTAGACTGCTGGAGGACATAGGGACCCCTATTTCATCATCCCGCTTCATTCTATCTCTATTCTCCCACTCTGCAGAATCTATGAGTTCAATCTCTAACGTTCTGCTCTCTCTGCTTTTTCTCATAGTAGCTTCATCTGGTCTGTTCCTGTTTGGCTGTGACTCCATCCTGGAGAGAAATATCAGCTGTTCTGCTGCCATCAACACCTTTGTTTATAGATGTTGGAGCTTGGCCTGTTTTCCAGTGTGGTCCTGTTTCTCTGACTGTGACTAACTGGATGTGCTCTCTTCATCCTCTGACATGGGAGCTGGCTCGGAGCTCATCTGCCTGGCTGTGTGTTTCCTGGACAGGGCCGCCTGTGGAGCTGGTTGAGTTACCTTTTGTATCTATTCTTCTTTTTCTATGTCTGTTTCTGTCTCCTTGATCCCCAGTCGGCCTCAGCAGATTTTCATGTTACATTTATGTTCATAGCGTGTTTTCTAACATGCTTAGAAAGCCATCAAGGCTCACACTCATATTACAGTACATCTATAAAAACCTCTGAATTTAGAAAGAACTTTTCACTTAAAAAGAAAACGCATAAACACAGCTGCTCCAAAGTGTGGCCCCCTAGTGTTTTTTAGTTTAATAGCAGGAGGTGGTAATAAACCCTCCTTTTTAATAAGAATTGATTTCAAAGTTGAATTGTGGTATCATTAAAGGAAAAAGTTAAACTTATCAAACTGTAAAGGAGGCAGTTCTGTGATTTAATGGTTTTTAGTTTATTTTATTGTACTATTTAACTTACTAAAGGCCATTTTTCTTTGTTCAGCAGTTAAAAAGTTATGGTAAACCAGAGGAGAAGCCAGGAGACATTTATCTTTAAACAGAGAAATAATTGTGTGTTTTGTTCTGAATAATCTATTAAATAAATACACAGCAGGTTTAAAATGATGTAATAAAAATGTTTATTATATGAGAAAATAGCATCACTACTAGATTTCCTCCTCGTTTAGATCCTGAAGCATTTTGTCCTGTAATGTTTCTCTCGTCTCAACTTAATTTTACATGGAAACTGAGACGAAGGCCAGGAGAACCGTGAAACATCAGCTCAACGTCCACAAGAACCAGGAGCATCTCACACTTTTCCAAGAACAAAAACATTTTCTGGAAACTCAGCTACTCCTTTAAACTCACAATTTACCTTTAAGGGTTTCATAAAGAACAAACTTTATTCATTAATTTGGTGCAAAGCAGCAAGAGATGAGTCGCTCCTCCGCCAGATGCAGGAGGGGATGCCTTTCTTCTTCTGTTGGCGCATCGGTCACATGTTGTTAAATCCCATCATGCCTTTCATGTTGCCGGCAGCGCCCTGCTGAAACTGACGCATCATAGACTGAAGACCAGCCATGCCTCCTGAAACACAGACAGGGGTTCAAAGTTCAGCGATCATCTGACCTGCAGATCGTTCCAGAATTGGTTTTCCAATTAAAACCCGTCAGATTTATTAGCAGCTCAGGTTTCAATACAATTAACACGACAAGAGGAGTTCTTTTAGTCCTATAAGGTCCTAAATCCAGATCATCGAACAGCTGAAGGAAACATGAAGGCTCAGAGTTTCTAAGGTCCATATTAGGCCTGAAACAATTAATCAGATTAATCGATTATTGAAATAATCATCAACTACTTAAGTAATCGATTAATCATTAACTGGGGTATAGAGACTGTAAAGCTGACAGAGAAACCCACTTAGAGCAGGAATTATATAAGAATTGTTAAATATATAAACAGTTTGCATTTAGGATAAAAAAAATAATCTGCTCTATCCAGAACTCCTCAACTGGAAAAGTTTTAGTTTCACCTGATTTCATTTCATAAAAAGTCTTCTATAAGGAACCTTTGGCTGTTCGATTATTAATCGAAAAAAAATAATCAATCATTTAGCAGCCCTAATTCATATTAAACTGTCCTTTTGTGCAATTAGTTCTGATGTCTGTTTTTTTTCTTCAAGCCTTAAAGATCATGAAGTTTAAAAGATGTTTTCCTTCATCATCAGCACCCCGATGATGATGCTGGTCTAACTGATGATCTTCATCAACAGGTGATGGAAGCCTCATTCTGTCCGTTTGTTCTTTGTAAACTGTTCTGTTTGATATTTGTTCCTTTTAAAAACAATAAAAAAACAAGTGAAAAAAAAAAAGTCTGAAATGATATTAGTGACCTAATGGATGGTTTGGCTCTAATTTAATGAAACTGGTTTGTTTAGAAAAGCTAATTAGCGATACTTGAATTATTGTTTTTTTCATTTCTGAAACGGACTGAGCCTCCCAGCTCCAGGGGCTCCTGCACTCTGCATCAACCACACTAGGGTCCTGGTCTGTGGTGCATCTCGTGTCAGACGCCCTGTGATGTTTCTGAGGCCGTATCCCATCAGGCTTAGCGGTTTCTGAATGAAAGACGGCTGGATGAAGAGCAGGTCTTACCCATGTGGTGCAGGACCCGAGGGTCCATCATTTTGGCCATCTGCTGGTTCAGCTTGGCCATCTGAGACGGGTTCACGTTTTTGGACATGTCTCCTCCTGAAACGGCAAACACATCAGCCCTGAGACACATGAAGCTCTGCAGTCCCTAGCTGCTGAGGCGCTGCTGAGGCACGGCTGGGCCGGGCCCCTCAGCCCTGGGCTGTGGCTGTCAGGTACCTTTAAACAGTCCTTTGATGCCTCCCATCTTCTTCACCATCTGAGCAAACTTGGTGTACTGAGTCAGCAGCTCCTGAACATCTCTGGTGGCCACTCCTGACCCGCGGGCCACTCTCTGGATCCTGTTGGGGTGCTTGCTAAACAGCTTTGCTCCGTCTTTGCTGTCCAGTTCTGCAAAGATAGCAGTTAGGAGGTTATGGAGGATCTTTCCTGCCAAAAACCAGGAGCACACATTTTCAACCTGAGAGCTGGATTTCCTCTACTGGGTTCCTTTCTAGAACATCTGTTGGCGAGAACACAAGCCTGTACTCACGTTCCTGTGAAGTGAGAAACGGCCAGAGACTGCTTTATGTGCAAGAAGGAAGTAAAGAGGAGAAAATATCAGAGGAAGAAGCACTACATGGAGAGAATAGATTTAAAAGAAAGCAGAAGCTCTGGATGTTAGGATTAAAAGTTTTAAAGGCATTCAGAGGAAATCCTGCTCCCAGGTTTTAGGCAGGAAAGATTCTCCATATGAGGAGAAGTGAGAAATTAAGTCTTTCTGCAGTTAGGGTTAACCCTGCAGCTCCAGGATGTGTGTGGTGCACGTTACCCTGGTCATTCATGCTGTCCATGATGGTCATGAGTTTCTTCAGTCTGGCCATCGATTCCTGCTCGTTCCCTTTACTCATGAAATCTGTGCCGAACCCTGGAATCATACCCTAAACAGAGAAGACAGACATCCGGAGTGAGGACACGTCTCCTCAGAGACGCAGCCCATATTCAGAGCGGTTTCCTGGACTAGAACGCCACAGACAGCCTGAGATGGTTGGTTACCATTATCTGGCCGAACGGTCCCATCTTCATGATGTTCTGGAACTGCTCGTACATGTCCCTGAGGGTGAACTGACCTGCAGGTCCACAACCGGAGTTAATCAGCTGGTCTGAGACCGGCAAGGATGGGGATGTGGGTCGGCTTCCTCACCGTGTTTCAGTTTGTCTATCAACTCCTCGTTGTCGTCCAGTTTCAGCTCGTTCACTCTGTCGATCAGTCCTTCGATGTCTCCCATTCCTGGAGCAGAAGAAGGTTTGATGCCCAATTAAGAAGACAGCTGTTCATTAAAGCTCCTGTCACACCTTGACGATTTAGACCAGAGTATGCCTGACATACGAACAATCTGGCAAAAACGCTGGCATATGTTGGATAAGTTATGGGCACGATGAAGTATGCTGAAGCACGTCAACATACAGCAAGTACATCTCAAAATTTATTCCAGCGTCTGCCATCCGTGGGCCATCAGTTCCTGGTCAGTTATCTGATGGTTGACAGACGTTCAGTGTCGGTTCCTCATCAGTCGTGGCGTCTAGCTTAT